AGGGAGGGAGGGAGGGAGGGAGGGAGGGAGGGAGGGAGGGAGGGAGGGAGGAGAGGTTCAAGATAGCTCAATTCAATAAATATTAAATTACATCTTTTCTTTTTCTTAGCTCATCTTGTTCGTTCCGACATTCATCCATTGTTTTCCTTGACTCTAGGAAATCTCTAAAAATAATTAGAAAATTATAATAACAACATGACAATAGCTGTTCATTAGCACAATAGGTGAAATTAATCATTATTATTATTGTTGTTGTTGTTATTTTTACTTTAGTTTAATTTTAGCTTCTTTCAGTGTATCTATAGTCTGCTGGAGTTTCCTCCTGTCATTCGTTGAGAGATATGTAAAGGTCTTTTCCAGCTGTGACTCCAACTTCCTAAGAAACAACAACAACAACAATAATAAACAACAATTGTTTATTTACTTTATTTGTTCCTCATACATTTCTTCTGACTTATACTTTAGAGAAGGAGAAATCTTGTTAGCTTTATCTCTCTGGGGAGAGAGAGAGAGAGAGAGAGGTGTAGAAAAAAAGAGAATGATATCATTAAATTAGTGACAGAAATAAACAGGAAGCAACACTAGACCTTGAACCTCAAGTATTCCCCCTCCCTCTCTCTCATTCCTCTCTACCTCTTTTGTGAAAGTTGATCCTAATGTTCTTATCCTTTCCTCAATGACCTTTATTTCTGATAAAATCTCTTTCTTTTCCGACTCAAGCCCATCCATCATTGCTTGAGTCTCCAGCAGCTGCTCCGAAGGACCTCTACTGCCATCAGACAGAACTGACATAGACTCCTTTATAATAATAACAATAAATGAATACATGTAACAGACCTCCATTATGCAGGAGTGGGGGGGAGGTGTACAGTAAAAGAAGTTGCAGGAAAAGGAAGTTATTTTAATAACAAAAACACAACAAACAGTTAAGTATAGGTACACTTGGAGCAACAAAACGAGACTCCAAGAATAAAAATCTACCATTTTTTCTACAAAACTACAGCTATCAAGTACATGTACATTCATTTTAACATTACCTGCTGTGCTTTCTTTGCCTCTATCTGCTCTGTTAGTTCAGACAGCTCCTTCTCAAACTTGTGTTTATCAGGAGGAGGTGGTCTGGGAAGAGAAGGAGGGAGAAGAGCAGGAGGAGCCGAGACAGCCAATCCTAGCTCTTTCTTAGGAGCAGCCATATTTACTGTGGAAGAGGAGAGAGGGTTATGTTTTGAGGTGTGTTGTATCTGGTTGGTAAAAGAATGGCCTGCCACGTAGGCAGTACGTGTACAGTCATGTGATGTGACGGGTGATTGGAAAGAAAGCAAACAAAGATATCCTTACCTTGATATTACTGACAACTAAAGCTTTCACTTGTTGTTGTGAAAGAGAAAGAGAGAAAGAGTGAGAGAGAGCGAGAGAAGCAGCGTCATTCCATGAAGGCCATTATTATATTTATTAATAGTGGGCGAGGCTGACTTCTGAGGGCGGGGCTAAAAATTGTTCTGACTTTTGAGTTTTGACAGTATAAATTGATAATAATTATTATTATGTTTATTTCAAAAATTCCTGTCTCTCTCTAGAGATACTGTTACTGGAAACATGAGAGAGTGATAGAAGAAGAACCTATTGCATTTGGCAATAACAGGCTTTTTATGCTTTCCACTGCCCATACTTGAAGCATTAAACCTTGATGTGTGAGACTTTCTTCTTAGACAGAATGAATTAATGACACCACATTTAACTGCATAGATCTAGTCTTCGCCCATGCTAATTGCCAGCGAGGCCAATAATAATAATTATTGTTTTAATCTTCAAATTAATGATGATTCTTCAAATTGTCACACAAACACACAAAAGAATTAATAAAATTACATAAAACAATAACAATAACAATAATGATAATAATAATAATAATAATAATAATAATAATAATAATTTTGTCCATTATATATCCTATAAATATTTAAAGTTCAAGTGTCTTCCTTTGGTGAAAGACAGTCATAGGTAGGTTGTTGTTCATTTGACGGGGGAGAGGAGAGAGAGAGGGGGGGAGGGGGGAGAGAGGGGGAGGGTTGTTGCTGCTGCAAGGGATCAAGGGAGTCATAAAGAGGTGCCTGTGGCTCCAGACTATCATAAACTGGGACACCACCTTCAGACGAACCTAAAGAAAGGACAGAATCCCTTATCTCCATGGTAACCGTCTCCTTATCTCCCAGGGTCTCGTTATCAAGGGGCATGTCATTTATTGTGGCCCCACCCACTTTAGAATAAGGATCTTCCTCGTCCTCGGGTGGAGGAGACAAGAGGTCCTCGTCATTCAAGGACTGGTCAGGAATGGGAGGAGGCTCAAACTCTGAGAGGTCAATCCCAAGGTCACCCACAGGCGGAAGGGGCGGGGCTGGAGACGTTGAATCTGCGCGTGGCACATTACTAATGGAAACACTTCCATTATCCTTAGCCCCCATGGAGGCGACTCTCTTCCTTTGAACAACACTTGGATCAATGATAGCGTACGCTAGCTCAGGGTCGTGAACAGGAGAGTCTTCATCGACTGATTGTGTGGGCGGGGCTTCTAATGATGTGGGAGGAGCCTCCGATTGACTGGGCATGTCGGAGTTAGCTAATTCTTCTTTGAGTTCTCTGACGGATGAGTACCCTGGATCATCGATACCAAGATCCTTTACTCTATCATAAGGATCTTCCTCCTCCTCCTCCTCCACCTCCTCCTCCTCTCTCTCCTCTTTTCTCTTTGTCTGTGAATTCGTTCTTTTTCTTTCTATAATTTGAGGATCAACTCTAGCGTATCCTTCAGCATCGTGTCCGACTGGCTGAGCCCCACCCTCACCATGTGACGTAACTTTAGCGTAATTATGAGACCCGCCCCCTCGATTGACGGTATCATAATCAGGCTCCTCCCCTTCCTCCTCCTCCTCTCTCTCTTCCTTTCTCACAGTATCGTAATTCGGATCAGATTTATCAAGAACCCTGTCGCGCTGGACGACAATAGAGGCAGACCCAGAGCCGGAGTCTTCGGGTACTTCCGGTAGTGGCTCATTAACACGTGAACTGAACAGTCCGACTGATTTCACAGGTAGCGTAGCTGACTTGTTGTTACCCACTAGAGAGGGTTTCACAGAAT